GGTGGATTTGGTTGTAAACGTTTTGTCACCCTGCTAAGTAACATCATCTTTGTGCCTCTGGTGAAGCATCGCTGTTCTATCTTGCTTGTCATTTATATGTCTCAGCTTGTTGGGGTGCTTGGTACCATTTCCAGTTCTGTTTCTCAGTGGTTTGTACACAGGGTCTAATTCAACATGTTTGTTGATGGAGTTCTGGTTAGAATACCAGGTCTCCAGGAATTCCCTGGTGCTTAACTATTTGACTTGTGCGATTATGGATGTGTTGTCCCAGTCGAATTTGTGCCCCTCATTGTCCATGTGTAGTGAGAAAAGTGAAAATTGGTCTTCTCTCTTGGTGGCCAGTTGACGTTCGTGTATCTATATTGTCAGTTTTCTTCTGGTCTGGCCTATGTAGTGTTTCTCATAGTCCTTGCATGGTATTTTGTATATTACACCAGTTTTGCTGGTTTTGGGTATGAGATCCTTTACATTCATTGGTGGCTGTCATAGAGTGGTTGTTGGTTTGTGGGCTGCCCTGATATCTAAGTGTCTGAGTAGTCTTGCAATCATCTCTGAAATGTCTTTGATGTACGGTAGGGTGCTTCGTGAGTCTGGTCGTGTTGTGTCTTCCTGTTTGTGATCTGTCGTGGAGGTAACGGTGGATTGTGCTTTTCGGGTATCCATTCCTTTTGAAGACTCCGTATGGGTGCTCCTGTTCTGTTTTGCATAGTTTCGGGTTGCTGCAATGTGTTGTGGCTTATTTAAATAGTGTCCTAATGCAGCCCCATTTATGGGCGTTTGGGCTGTAATTGATCAAATGGGTCAATGGGCTGAAAATTGGCAGATGGAGTTCAATTTGGATAAATACAAGGTGTTGCATTTTGGCACAACAAACAAGGATGGGACTTATATAATTAATGGTATATAATTAGTTATAGAATGGAGGGACCTAGGTGTGCAGGTACATAATTCTTTAAAGTTTGCATCACATGGAGACAGGATAGTTAAAAAGATGTTTGGCACGCTTGCCTTCATTGCTCAGTGCTTTGAGTGTAGGAGTTGGGACATTATGTTGAGGTTGTACAGGACATTGGTGAGGCCTCTTTTGGAACACTATACCCAGTTATAGGAAGGATATTAACAAACTGGAGAGAGTTCAGAAGAGATTTACCAGGATGTTGCCGGATATGGAAGATTTGAGTTATAAGGAAAGGCTGGATAGATTGGGACTTTTTTCACTGGAGCGTAGGAGGTTGAAAGGTGACCTTTATAGAAGTTGACAAAACAATGAGTGGAAAAGATAGAGTTGATGGTGGTTGTCTTTTCCCTAAGATGGAAAATTTCAAGACTTAAGGTGAGAGGAGAGAGATTTTTAAAAAAATTTAAGGGGTGGTTCACATGTGGAAAGAACTTCCTGACGAATTGATGGATGCAGGTACAATTACAACATTAAAAAGACATTTGGATGGATATATGAATACGAAAGGTTTGGACGGATATGGGCCAGGAGCAGGCAGGTAGGACTGGCTTAGTTTGGGATTATGTTCAGCGTAGACTGGTTGGACCAAAGGGTCTGGCTCCGTGCTGTATGACTCTATGACTTAACCTCCCTGACTTTTATTTCCACTTACTTCAACTTGACTTCAATGTCACTTTTACTGAACTCAATCACTTCTATATTAGTCATCTGCAAGTAGCGTCAGCATCAGGGTGGAAGGCTGCCAATGCAGACATTGCAGCATAGATAAAAGTGTCTTGTGACAGAGAGGTAAGTGTCCCAACTTCTGGACCAGAAGATTTGGGTTCAAATCCTACCTTCCCCAGAGGTGTGTCATAACATGTCTAAACAGATTGTGTTTTATAATAAAATTACTCATAAGGTTCATGGTCAATTACCTCATGGCCTCAGCTGCAAACTCACCATCCTGATATATTCTGGCAGCACAGAAGGCATGCTATCAATGGGAGACAGCCATTCACATTATCACATTCATTGTACTGAATTCCCAATGCTTTAGAGGCAACTAAAATGTAAGATACGTGTTGCAATTGACAGTAGAGGATAGGTCTATCCCAAACCCCAATTGGCACAAACTTGTTCATCAAAGATGTTGGCGCAGGTGCCATAAAATTCCTCCGCTAGAACTTTAAAAACCTATTCCTCACTGTTACGCTGAAAGAAAATTAAGAAATGTAGGCTAGTGTTTATACAGAGCTTCTCACCACCACAGACAATGAAGTACTTTTGAAGTGTAATCACTGTTGCAATATGGGAAATGTTGGGAGTCAGTTTGTACATAGTGAGTCTCCACAAACAGGGATATAATATCCATCAGATAATAAACAGTGCTAAAATAATTTTGAGGGAAAGGTATTAGCCAGGACACCAAGAATAACCCTCCCACTCTTCTTTGAAATAATGTCATGGAAACATTAATGTTCATCTGAGAAAATGGATGGAACCTTGATTTAGCATCTTAGCCAAGATGTACCACCAGCAAAATGACACCTCTTCAGACCAGCACTAAGTTTTATAAAGAAATCTGCTGAGTGGAATCTGAACCCATAGCTTTTGATTTTGAGGTGATGACACTACCAAAGCGCCATGGCTGATGGAAATAGCATGTGTTTTCAAGCAATTGCTTCTGTTCCCAAAATCAACACTTAAATTCACTTTGATTTGTTAAAGCAACTGTTTCCTCTTTAGTCACAAAGTATAAGATCACATAGGAAACCAATTTATCATTAACCATCACAGTGTACTGTAGATACAAAACAAGGCACCTCAAATGTGTCTCTGGTCACATTCACATGAAATCTTTGCATCTGTATACTTTATAGACATGTATCTGCATACTTTGTATGATGATTATCTAACTGATAGATCCAGTATCTTGATATGTTAGTAACTTTTGTGCTTTGCACAGTCAAAGAATATCTTCAGCAGCCTCTCTAAAGGCCCTTTCATTTCTTGGTCTAATTGTGTTCAGTAGTTTAGCTTTAACAATAATCAATTCATCACTGAAAACTCTCTGATCTTACGTGCAAAGGGTCACAGCCATGGTCTCTGCTAAACAGAATAGGAACAGCCCTCACTAGCCTTTCCAAATTATCTCAAGATCCAGTACCTGTGCAGAAATATGTCGACCATTTATGAAATAACTAACTTTAACTTTCAAACAGCACATATCCTCACTTTCCTAGTTAATGTTCAAAATATATTTCTCTAGTGTTTGCTGGGAATATTGTTCCAATGAATGGGGATGATACGCTAGTTACTGAAATATTGCTGTAATCTCTCCTGCCTATAGTCATTGGCTTTTTTCACAAAATAATTTACAATTAGAGTCACAGAGTCATATAGCTTACCAAGTTTCCCAAACTAAACTAGTCCCATTTGCCTGTATTTCACCCACGTCCTTCTAAACCATTCCCATGCTTGTGCCTGTCCAAATGTCTTTTAAATGTTGTAACAATACCTACATCTACCACTTTGTCTGACAGTTCATTCCATATACGAACAACCCTCTGTGAAAAATTTGCTCCTCAGGTCCCTTTTTAAATCTTTCCCCTTTTTCCTTAAAATTATGCCCTCTAGTTTTGAGCTCTCCAATCTGAGGAAAAAGACCTTCGCTAGTCACTTTATCTACACCCCTCATGTTTTTATAAACATCTATAAAGTTACCCCTCAACCTCCTATGCTCCAATGAAAAAGCCCCAGTTTATCCAACCTCTCCTTCTAACTCAAACACTCCAGTCCCAGTAACATTCTTGTAAATCTTGTCTGCATCCTCTCCAATTTAATAACACCCTTCATATAGCAGGACAACCAGAACTGTACACAATACTCCAAACGTCCTGGACAACCACAATATGATCTTCCAACTTATAAACACATTAATAAACAGAACTATTTAACTGGGCAAAACAGAACATTCTTGTTTTGTTTTCTGTCATAACAGCAGCACTTTCATCCCAAGTTTCAAAATGAAGGTTGTCAGTGTGGAGAATGAATATGCTACATGGCCTCTTGAGACGATATGAAGCCAATCTTAAAATCAACCAATTGCTGATCTAGTTCAGTATACGTTGGGCAGAATGCCAATAGCATGATTGACTAGTTGGCTAAATGGTGGTTCAGATGCAACACCAATAAGGAGGTTGACTTGCCTCCTTGCCCTCTCTCTGATGCAATAGCAATCCACTATGGACAAAAACAGATCAGGGTGAAATAGCTACAGACAATGAGACAAGGAACTCCCTTCAGGCAGAGCACATGTAATATACTTATCTAGGAAGAGCACCCACTGATAGGTCATTATTTAGTTTTTATAACACATGAGTTCACGACTAACAAATTGTATGCAAAATTGTGGTAAATTATGGGTTGCTTTGTGCTATGAATTCATCGACTGACTGCTGCTGGGACAAATGCATCCTGACTGCAATGAAAATGAGCAGTTTCCAGCACACCAACACCTTCATACCTATACGTCTTAAACTGAGATTCCTTCATTTGACTGGTCCATTTAGAATGATTATAGATAGGGAGATGATGTTCTCATTCCTTCAGACCAGGCAGGATTAAAATATAGGTCCTGATAATGAAAGTAGTATGAACCCAGCACACCACTTTCTCCACTTCATTGTCTGAGCCTATTTCCTACTGCCTGGGGTTGTAAATCTAAAACGATGCTTCAAGGTGCCAAACTAAACAAAAACATTCATATTTTGTGGACTAAATTCAGGCAATTTTGAAAGATTATCATTTCTACAGTGCAATGTCTTTTAAGATTCTACCAAATTTTCCAGAATGACTTAGTTCAGTAGTGTATTTAGATGGTGTTTTACAGATAATCACAGATTAGCAGGTGAATAGAAAGATATTTAATGCACCAGAATGCAGCTGGTTGAACACATTTATGCAAGAACACCAACCCCCACCAATTGATTTATCATTATTGTAAACTTGAATAGTTCACTGTAATAAGAAACTGTAGAAAAGAGTATGTCAAACTTACCTTTTCCTTTGAAAACATCAGGAGACTTCCCATTCCCAGTCGGTCAGTTCTCTCTAATGCTTTTTTTGACTGCAACATATGTTCAGACAGTTGTAGAGACCCCAAGTGCTGGAGTTTAACCACATCCTTGATTAAGAAGATACTGAATTTCTTTAAAAAAAATTGCTGGCAGAAATTGAAATCCAAGGTTTGTAAGTTTGTCTGATATGTACGCACTTAGAACAAACAGGAACTGAGAACATATATAGCCTCCTCTACAGGAAATGAGGGGGGTGGGGGTGGAGGCTGGAAATAACAGAAAGAGGAGTGGAGTTTGCGATCCTGATCCAATCACGTTATACTTGCTTTTCATATGAATCAATTTTTGCAATGGACATTTTAGTTTGCATGTTGTGGAGAGCAGATAATTAAAGGCTGTTATGTAGTAAAATGAAATCAGTGGTTGAAAAATTTTCATTATATTCTAAATGTACCTCAACATCATATCCAAAAAAAGTGTACAATGAGTTATTTATTAAACCAAGCCTTTCAAAGAAGTACCAGTAGTGCCTTTAGGAACTTCCAAATCTAGTGATAAGAAAGATGGTCCAACAACAGCATCGTCACCCAGGCCAACATGCTTAGTATCAAGATGCTAACCATTCAAAATCAAATCCACTGGGCAGGAGATTTAGGTGACTGACACCAGACCCCTGAATCAACTTCTCAGATTAGAACTAGGCATAGAAAAAGGCCCCCAGGAGGACAGTAAAGATGCCCTAAAAACATCCCTGAAGAGGTAAGACATCCCTACAGACTTGTAAGCGTCCCTGGCTTGTGGCTGGCCAAAATAGAGGTAGGTACCAGATATATTGAGAGACTTGAATGGGAATGTGCAGAGATGATGCTGATGCATTGGACAGAGTGCACAAACCTCCACACAATGCAGTCTTCTGACACTTTAAACACCAGCTGCCCTAAACGTAATGCACGATCTGCATGCAGTATATCAGCCATCTCAGAGCCCATTGAAATGAAGTGGAAGCAAGTCATTCTTGGTCCTGTGGATCTGTTTAAGAGGCTTATCAAGCTATAAAAAGGGATATTCTAAGTAGGAATTTTGTAATTGTGCTTTGTAAGTTTATTCTAATAAATACTATGAAGAATCCACAAAAATGTGTCTTTGTGGGTTACGTTGCACATCTTACTCCAACAAGTTGTAAATCATTTACTGCACAGTAAGTATCTCCTTTATCTGCAATAATGATAGTAATATACTCAAAAGGCTAACTCATACTACTGGAAGTGATACGATTGTGCACAAACTAGAATTTAGTGTACAAAAATCTTCCAAATACTGACTAACACCTTTTCTTACCTTTGTTGTGTTGACATATAGAGGAAACAGAGAACGTGGTTGGCTGGCTCACTGAGCTAGTTCGTTGTTCCACAGATGTTTCATTACCCTGCTGGGTAACATCATCAGTGCAGCCTCCGATGAAGCGCTGTTGTGTTTTCCTGCCTTTTATTTAAACTCTGGTGTCCGTTGAGCTGGATTACCTCACTTCCAGTTTTCCTTCACACTGGAGTGTATATGGAGTCCAGCTCTATGTGTTTATTGATGGCTTTCTTCGTGGAGAACCAGGCCTCTAGGAATTCACATGCTTGTCTCTGCTTTGCCTGTCCCAGGATCTTGGTGTTGTCCCAATCGAATTGGTGGTTTTCATTATCCATGTGGATGGAGATGAGTGAGTATTGGTCGTGTCTTTTTGTTGCCGATTGACATTCCTGTACTCTTGTGGTTAATTTCCTTCCTGCTTGTCCAATGTAATGTTTGTTGCAGTCTTTGCAGGGAATCTTGTATATGACATTGGTCCTGTCCATAGTGGGTAGTGGGTCTTTGGTTCAGGTGAGCAGTTGGCATAGGGTTGATGTGGGTTTGTGTGCCACTGTGATGCCCGCTGGTCGTAGGAGTCTTGTGGTTAGTTCCAATGAGTTCCTGATGTAAGGTAGCATGATGAGTGTGTCAGGGCGTGTAGTATCTTCCTGGTGTCATTGGTGTAATAGGCATCTTCTGACCCGGTTTTTCGGGTATCCATTGTCTTTGAATACCTAGAAGACGTACTCTTCTTCTCAGCATAGCTCTGTGCTGCTGCAGTGTGTTGTTGTCTGTTTAAATAATGTTCTCACGCAGCTTTGTTTGTGTGTATTAGAGTGGTTGCTATTGAAATTCAGTACTTGATCAGTGTGTGTGGCTTTCCTGTGTACCTTTGTTATGAATTCCCCATTGGTCTTGCATTCCACCATGATGTCCAGGAATGGGAGCTGTTTGTTCTTTTCCTCTTCTCTGGTGAATCTGATCCCGGTGAGTGTGTTGTTTATTAATTCGTGTGTCTCCTCTAGTTTGGTCGGTTAAATAGTGATGAAGGTGTCGTAGCTTATCCATAGTTTTGGTTGGATTAGCAGAAGGGCCATGCTTTCAAGTCTCTGCATCACCACTTCAGCTATTAGTCCAGAGATAGGTGATCCCCTGGATATCCCATTGATCTGTTCATATATTTGGTCTTTAAAGGTGAAGTGGGTGATGAGGGCTAGGTCCAATAGCTTCAGCATGTTGTCCGTGGAGATGGTGTCGCTAGGGTCTTGTTTTTGTTTTAGTAGTGTTGCCAGTGTCTCCCTTGCTAGTGGTATGTCTATTGACGTGAATAGGGCAGTAACGTCAAATGATACCATGGTCTCGTCGTCAGCTATTCTTATGTCCTTGATGGAATTGAGGAACTCTTGGGCTGCGTGGATTGAGTGGGGTGACTTGCTGACGAAATGCTTTAGTCTCCTTTGTAACTCCTTGGCTAATCTATGTGATGGCGTGCCTGGCAGGGAGACTGTGGGTCTGAGGGGTACTTCCAGTTTGTGTACCTTCGGGAGGCCGTAGAATCGGGGAGTGTTAGTTCCTTCAGGTTTCAATCTTAGGTAGTCTGCTTTGTTGATTTGTCTGGTCTGGTTGAGTCTCTCTAGTGTGTTGAGAATCTTGTTGCCTAGTTGTGGTGTCGGGTCAGTCTACACTTGCCGGTATGTGTTCTCGTCGGCTAGTAGTGCATGTGCCTTGGAGAGGTAGTCCCGTTTATTTAGTATTACTGTCATGCGCCCTTTGTCTGCTGGTAGTACTGTGATGTTCTTGTCCTTTTTCAGTCCTGCTAGCGCCTTCCTTTCTGATGTGTTGAAAGTGTTAAGTTCGCTTTTTCTGGTCAGTGTCAGGATCACTATCTGTCTTATGGCTTGTTATGTTTCTGCATTGATGCCGTTGGTCTTCCAGTGTGGCTAGGAACTCTATCCTGTTAGCATCACTGTGGTTGTAGTTGAGTCCGTGAATTAGAACAGCTTTCTCTGTGTCTGTCAGCTTTCCTATTACATGCCCGCACACACTCATCGCACTACCTTACATCAAGAACACATCTGACCTGACCACAAGACTCCTATGACCACCGGGCATCAGAGTGGCACACAAACCCTATGCCAACTGCTCACCTGAACCAAAGACCCACTACCCACTATGGGCAGGACCAATGTCATATACAAGATTCCCTGCAAAGACTGCAACAAACATTACATTGGACAAGCAGGAAGGAAATTAACCACAAGAGTACAGGAATGTCAATCGGCAACAAAAAGACACGACCAATACTCACTCATCTCCATCCACATGGATAATGAAAACCACCAAATCGATTGGGACAACACCAAGACAGGCAAAGCAGAGACAAGCATAGGAATTCCTAGAGGTGGATTAGTTGAGGTTACAGACATTTGGAAATATGGTGAAATATTTGTTTCTGAAACATAGATTATTAACAGGTAGGATTGGAGGAACAACATTCCTGGATACAGGTTTTACAGCAGAGCTAAAAAGGCTGATTTAAAAAAAAAACTGACAGTCATAATATTGGCTAAAAAAACCCATTACAGTCATGAGGTTGAGGATATATTAGGAGGATCATGGCATCAGGCCATTTAGATTGACGGTAGAGTAGAAAAAGAGGCAGTCATGTTACTAAGAGTTTACTACATATGCTCAACAGTCAAAGGGAGCTAAAACAGTAAATAGGCCAGACAATTTTGAGAAGTACAGAGCCATTAGGATAATAATAGTTTAAAATTTCAGTTACCATTATATCAACTGACAGAGAAGCAAGGTCAAAAGAGCACAGAATTCTTAAAATTCTTTCAGGACAATATTTTTAGTACGTACATAGCAGGTTCCAAAAGAGAAAGGACATGTTTGGATTTATTTTTTGGGACAGAAGTTGGACAAGTGGAAGGGGTATCAGTGGGAGAGCATTTTGGTGATATTGATCATAATTCACTTACATTTAATATAGGTATGGAGATAGGATCAATTTAAACCAAGTGTAAAAGTATTCAACTGGGGAAATGTCAATGCTATAAAGATATACTAAGATATGATTTAGCCAAAGTAGGCTGGTGTCTGAGATTTTACAGCACAGAAACAGGCCCTTCGGCCCATCATGTCCACATCAGTCATCAAACATCTATGTATTCTAATCCCATTTTTCAATATTTGGCTCATAGCCTTGTGTGCTATGACATTTTATGTGCTCATTCTAATAGATTTTAAATATCTTACAAGCTCCTGCCATCCTTTCAGGCAGTGAGTTCTGGATACCCACAACTTTCTGGGTAATTATTTCTTCCACACCTCCCCTCTATGCCTTTTGCTCCTTACTTTAAAGTCGTGCCCATAGTTATTAACCTCCCTATGCAGAGGAAAGATTTTCCCCTATCTACACTGCCAATGTCCCTCAGAGCACTTGGTACACCTCAATCAGATCCCCCCTCAGCCTTCTCTTCTCTAAGGAAAATGATGCCAGCCTACCTAGACCAAAACAAAAACACCAGATGCTGAAAACCTGAAACACAAACAGAAATAGCTGGAGAAACTCAGTAGGTTTGGCAGCATCTGTGCAGAAAATGTTCTCAAGAAGGGTCATTGGAACAAAATGTTGACTCTGCTTTCTGTTCTGCTACCAGATCTGCTAAGTTTCCACCTATTTCTGTTTTTGTCCCAGCCTATCTAGTCCCTCTTCATAGTTAAATTGCTCCAGCCCTAGCAACATCATGGTGAATCTCTTCTGTACCCTCTCTGGTGCAATTATATCCTTCCTATAGTGTGATGACCAGAACAGTACACAATACTCCAGCTGTAGCTTAACTAAAGTTA